TTTTTTAAAAACATATAAAATCGTATTATAACATCGACAGAAACAAATAATAAAATAGAACATTAAAATCGAAATGTATCTTGCTGCATTGCAAAAGTACTCTTCTAATATTACTAAATCAAAAAGAAATTACTTTCTTATTGAACCTAAATTAAATTAAAAAAATTACACAGCGAAAAAAAACTTTTAAATAGTTAACTTAATACTAATATCAATATATTTTTTAAAATTTTTAAGATATCTTCAAATTTATATTTTATTTAAAAATAAAAACATTATCGTTTTTGTTAAAACCAAATAAAACTGTTTATAACATCGACAGAGGATAGAATGAAAGCGAGACATTAAAATCAGTATGTATTTCGTTGCATTACGCGAATACCCTTCTAGTAAAACTAAAAAAGAAAGTGTCGTGAATAAAACTTAAAATAAAATAAAGAAACGAAACCTTATATTTTACGTTTTCTTTCGTTTAAACATAAAATTTCTGCAACAATCATCGAATGTTTTTCATAAAAAAACCACATTTCATGCAAGATTTAAGCGATCGCGGCTAAAAAAATTCTGCAAATGGCCGACCGGTCCTTATAATTTCACTAGACGATGTTCAAACACGCTTTGTCGAAAACTTTCTGCAACGGATTGTTATGACACAAGTACGAAAGCCTCAATCACCACTGCCTTGCTAGCTAAAAGGAATACGAAAATGGGTCTGAAAATCTATTCGGATAAGCATTCGTTAACATGTTTGACGAATGAACCAGACCTCAAGAAACACGGCTAATGGAGTAAGAATAGAAAACAAGCCCAATAATGGTCAAAAGGCGTTTGATTAAAGATCCGGCATCCCCTTCCCGGTTTTAGCATCGTATGTTTTCTCGTGCACCAGTTCTATAGGAGTATCTTTCGGACCAGCTGTTGCAAGGATAAAACGAAAAAATTATGTGTAAGACGTAGGTGAGGGTAAGATGTAGAGACGCACAACGCCCTGGCTTTTCGGGTCTGGTCCCAGGCCTTTAGATCCCGTGTTCAGAAAGCAAAAAATAAGTCTGGGCTTTTTCAGTCCCGGGATTTGGTTGTAAAAGAAGTCCCCGCTAGGGCTTTTTCAGGCCTATCCGGGCCTTTTCAGAAAAAAAATTAGGCCTCATCAGGCTTTAGGGGCTAGCATGAGCCTGGCATTGACAGGCCGAGCTTTTTCAGGCCTGTCTTTGGATCGAGTTTTTTTGTGCATCTCTAGTAAGGCATCAGCAGATCTGACCTCTACCCCAATTTACATCCCTATCACATGGTAGAGATGGCCAAAATGGGACCCGCTTAGAACCGCGACCGGTTCTAGGAACCGGGAGTCCAGGACTGGTTCTATGGACCGGGCTTTGTACATGGAGAACGGGCTGGGTGTTTTTGGTCGGGACTGGGACTAGAAACAGTTACCATGGGACCGGTTACAGGAGAAAAATCTCGGACCGGGACAGATTTGGGCCCAGCCTGGCTCAGCTCAGGAGCGGTTTTTGGCCATCTCTATAGCATGGGTCCACAACTAGCTATCTTTAAAAACATTTGCATAAAACTCTTAATTTCAATAGTATAACGTCTATGAAGCATTAAGTACACACAGATATAAGACATTACCAGTTGTTGGACGTGGAGTCACCCTTATCTTCAAAATCTCGGGACGAGGAATTATGGTCCCTGATGCCCCTATACCTCTTGAAACTCTTACTTTAGTACCGTCTTCTTGATACCGAGTTCCAACCTTACACGGCTGCCTGAAAAAGAGCATTTCAACAAGCATCTTATTAAATGAAGCATGAGCAAGCTGGGAGTCTTCACGGAATCAGTCTTTTTACCCCTCGGGATTGAGGAAAGGCTGGGTACATTTTACCCCCGACCCACTTCATGTGGGATTCATTGGGTTCGTTTGGTTTGGTTTTGGTTAATCTTATTGAAGCATGAGTGAAATGCAATGAAGAATGAAGCCTTGTTTTCGCTAAAGCATACATACCTTGTCACTGGATCAACAATTTGAACATTCGAGACATGAAGAGGGGCTTCTACCGTAAAAATCCCGCCTTCATGGCCTTGGCCTTGCTTTATATGCTTCTTTACCTGCAAGTATTTTATCCAGAATGAGTAAATATGAAACCAGAAAGGTCGATGATGCATAAAACAAGATTTGGACATCAAAAGACTTCCGGGGTGTGTTTGGTACGCAGATGAGACTGGACAGGCAAGAGTTGAGTAGGCGGGTGAAAGAATTGTGCAAGCTTTTAAGGCTTAATTTGACATGGGTAATTTAGTAATTTGCCAATATTGTCACATCTCCCTGATTTCTGTTCCATCTATTTTGGTGAGACAGAAAAAATGCAGTTTTTGTCTCAATCGGTCCTGGCCTGTCCCGTTCTAATTGTCCCACGAAATGTGGAAGAACAAGTTTTGGTTCTATCCCATCCCATATACCAGTCCGGCATACCATATGCATCCTCAGGGTCCACATATGAACCGTGTTCACCAATAAATACATAATTAACGGGCCTTAAGAGTTTCATGACAGGAAACCGTGTCTAACTATACTGCTGCCACACCCATTGCTTATCTTGATAGTGTTCAAACAATTTCAAGTACAAACTCAATCATGAATTATACATTTCGGATACACCAGTTGACAAATTAGACCTATTGTAGTTCCCATTACATGCAACAAATTTATAAAACAAAGATAAAACTAGGCATGAGAATGAAACCCGCCCCATTGAGGAACCTGCTATACCCCCCCCCCCCCCCCCCCCCCGGGGACGGGATTCCCAGCAAAACAGGCATGGGAACAGGGCAGGGTAACATGATCTCTCAACCCACCCCGTATATTAAATATATTGTATATTTATTATTAAATATATTATTTATAAAGAATTAGATTTAGTATCTTTTAAATTTAGAAAGAGTATTTTGACTTTTCTTCAAATATACATCTTCTCTAACTTGTTTTACCTTTTTCAGATAAAAAAAACATGGCGAGTCGAAAGCTTTTCGTCAAACAATTACGTATGATGTTGTGATTTTGTTAACATATGAACATTTCATACTCCATAAAAGCAAAATTGGAAATATGTGAGTTCTAAACATGGACCACTATGGATTCAATATGGTGTTTAACACGTTTGATTTAAAATATCTCACATAAATGAAAAAAAAGAAATCCCGGATTCCCGTTGCAGACAGAAATGGGAATTGGGGTCCCGCCCCATTCTCATGCCTAGATAAAACAGTGAGATGGGGAGAGTAATCTCACCAAGTTCTTTCCCTCAACAATAACACGATTTTGAGAACGAATGACGCGTTTAATAGTGCCAGTTGCACCCTTATCTTTTCCCCTAATAATCATCACCTGCAATAAAAAGATTATAATTTAAACATCAGCAAAAGAGCATAATTGAACCTGCAAAGTTTTAATGTGAAAAAAACAATATTTCTTTTTTACATTATCTCCTCTTAAAATTTTCCAGTGATGTATCAGTTTTTGAGCTGCTTTCCATCCCATTATGTGCCAATCTGAAATGTAAAACAACATTTAAGAAGATCAAATTTAAGTTAATATAACAAAATTTAATCCCATTAACATCAAATTGCACTTTGCATACGTGTCTCTACCTTGTGGGAGGCTGGGCTCTACCGGTAACCCATGTACCACTAGCTAGAGGTGTTTGCGGTCCGGTTTGGGCGGTTTAGAAATTTTCCAAACCGAGCAAATTGGCCACAATTGAGCAAACTGGCTAAATTGGACCACAAAAAGATGGTCTGGTCCGACCGGTTTAGGCAGTTTGTGCCTCTTCTTATAGGTTCTAAACAAGAAAAAACAAAACATCTATATCCAAAATGAAATTTCTACCAATATAGCATTATTTTAAAAAAATAGTATACAAAATTACAAAAGAAAGATAACGCGGTCAATTGAGAAATGAAAACTAAGAACATAAAAGTTAAGCCTACAATGAAAAGTAAATATAACTAATACATGTGTATTTTGGTGGTCGGTTTGGTCCAGACCGCTCAAAGAAACGTTCAAACCGCAGACCAGACCATACCGAGCAGTTTGGCTATTTTTCAGACCGGACCGGACCACCAGACCGCTCAAACCGCCAAAAACGGTCCGCTTTGACTTGGTTTGACAGGATTGAGTGGTCCAAAAGTTTTTTGAACACCCCTACCACTAGCCCAACTTACCAAATGAGCTGGTTCAATTTCTTGGAGGGTAAGAGGTAACCTATGTACCATTGGTTGTTCTTTTCTAGTGGCATAATCATGGTTCTCAATCAGGTTTTAGGATCAAGTGGATTCATAGGATCAAGTGGATTCAAGGTTCAATTTCAGTAAGATTTTAATGGTTCTATTGTTTAAAATTTAAATGTTAAAACTTCAAAAATGACAAAATTGTTGAACAATATGTAGAACAAATAAAGGAACAAACAGCATAACAAAAATCACAGTCAATGATCCAAACAATACAATTAGCAGTGTAACACAATCCACACAGAAACTAATGAAGTATGCAATCATATGAACAAACGTGCTAATGACCTAATTATAGATTATAGAATTCAAAAACTGATAACCACCACCATTTCTTCAAATTGCATCAAATTAAATCATGTCAGACAGAAGATGAAAAATACAAAGCACCAAATCATGTCAGACAGAGGATTATTAAGGATTCTACAGATCTCGATGAACATGAAAACAGTTTGAAACCCTAAACGATTCTAATCCGAAACTTAACTAATTTCGACAAATTTAATTGGAATTTGGAAACCCTAGTCGTACCTGAAGCAGGAAAACGAGAGTCCCACGTCGTAGCAACCGCGTCGGAGTGAGCTGTGAGCGGCTGGTCGTCGATCAGCGATTTGGGGGAAGACGGAATAGGACAAAGGCTTTTTGTTTCTCAAATAGGCCCAACCCATTACTAAAAGCAATTGAGCCCGGCCCAAATCCGAAGGATTGTGGTTTTGGATTTCGGGCCGGTTAAGAAAAGCCCGAGATCTATGAAGATCGGTTAAGCCCGATTGTAAAAAAGCTCGATTAAGCGGTCAGAAATTTTAAGAAAAGAAAAGTGTTGGGTAACGAAATACAAATCGTTATGTTTTAAATAAGAAATTTGTAGTTGATATGAATAGGATTAGATCAGTCCAAACTCACGCATGCTTATGGGACTGGTTACGTGGATCTTATATAAGATTGGATTGGCTAAATTAGTTACTCCTTTCATCGTCATGACGGGATTGATTAAGGCTTGATTTCTTAGCATTTATATGTGATAATGTCCATGAGGGTGTCAGTATAATTGGAATCCCGATAATCGATGATATTTATATAAATATCTAAAAACGGCCATGTTGAAGCTGAGTTGTTCATCTCGAGTCCTCCTCGATCTACCCCTCATCTGTCTCCTTCAATTGTCACCCTTTCTAGCATCTTTACTAAATCTGTCATAACGTGACCAAATTATCCTCGACTTGTTTGTGATARGTGGAACTCCCAATACCGTTGAKAAGACTTCTTTYGGCATCCTATCAAGCATTGTTTTAYCASARTTTCGTTCAAGCATCTTCATTTATACAACTTCCATCTTCTGTTCATGGGCATTCCTTAACACCCATCACTTAGGACCATACAATATAGTCGGTATGAGTACTGCCCTGTAGAAAAACTTAATACAGATAAAATTMTAACAAAATGGTCCTACAAACGATTGTAAACATGGTGGATGTTGTATAGCGAAGGTGGAATCTATACATTCATYTGGGCAAACACATGCATGTACAAATAAAAATCATACATGTTATGATAATACAAACTTAAGTTAGTAAACCTGACATCAAACGCAATTATCGACTTTTAAGGATGCATAAAAACTCCGGGTATTTGTCAAGAGGACGTCAAATGTACCTTTTTTCAAGCACGCGATGTTTTCTAGTTCACATATATGATACAATACAGTGACCTTAACGATCGAGCTTAAAAGACAAAATAGTTTTGTTTCACGCTTGTTTAAAGCTGTGGAATTGATCAATGTAGGGAATCATCATTTCATGACTCGATGGTCCCCCAAATATGAATAGATTTGACATTTATAAATTATCCCGTATARTTTAATAGTCTAGACATTGATGCATGAAGGTAACTGGTGATAAACACAAAAAGTCAKAATCTTTCACTTCAAGATGGTCCTAAAATCTTGAAAACTTGACAAATGTTGCAATAGAATAATTGGATTGATATGAAATGACGACCACTGATATTTTTGTACCTGTGTGTGGGCCTTTGACCAAGACCGAGGAATCACACACAACAGTGTTTTGAAATGCTATAAGATAATTATGTTTTTATGTATATTATGGCCAAAACAATCAATTAGTCTGAATATATATATATATATATATATATATGTATATATATATGTATATATATGTATATATATATGTATATATAGGGGCCTATTCAAATGAGAACAAATTAGTTTGTGGTAACTGTGAGAACTAATATTAACCACAAATCAATTGATAAATTAGGAAATTTATAATTTTGGCAATTTTGAATTAAAATTTTAATGCAA